CTGCTATTCAATCTATAACAGTGAAAAAAGTTTTTTGTTTTTAAATCCAAGCTATTGTGACACCAGATCTAAGTGGTGGCACTGACTGGGGAAATGGGCACAGTATGCACTGTGAGCCTGATACAGAAGCTGGCAGCAGTGGCAAACAACTAAGTGCAATTACATTACATAGAAAAAAAAAATTTAAAAAAAGCATACCCTTATCCCTAACCTAGCTATGCTTTTCCCTATCTTATGAACAGCAGCTACACTTTCTCTCCTCTTACTAAGCATGCAGCTTGAGAATGAATCTAAAATGGATGCCTTCCAGGAGGTGGGAGGGTCTGCTTGGGAGGGTGTGCTGCTAATTGGCTGGAATGTGTCTGCTGACTGTGAGGTACAGGGTCAAAGTTTACTCAATGATGACGAATAGGGGGCGGGTCGAACCGCGCATATGTTCGCCCGCCATGGCGAACGCGAACATGCTATGTTCGCCAGGAACCGTTCGCCAGCGAACCGTTCGGTACATCACTAAATATAATATAACACTGTTTAAAACAACGGTTAGCCTACTCAGTTTACTTATGACGCACTCTGCACATAATGCACCATGCCTGCCTCCCCTCATACTTGCTTTAAGATAAGAGCAGTCAGAGTAATCTCTCACTTTAGCACTCAACAGTTAAGTTTAGCCTGTGTAAATATGTTTAATCGTTGTGAAACTATGGCAGCCTCTCGTTACTCTAACCTGATCACTTAATCTGTTTCGCTGCAAGCTTGAAATGCCATGCTCAAAAGAACTGAAACAGAACCGGAGTTGTTTAATATATAGCATGATTACTTGGTTATATTGTACACATGAAAACTACCATATGAGCAACCATTAATTAACCCTTGCACTCATTTCCTAAACATATGCTTGTGTTATTATGTTACGCTTAATTAATATAAAATGAGGCTGTCACTCACAGCAGATGTTGCATTGTGTTATCGTGATCCCAATCTGTATTAAAAATGTACATCCCCTCTTCTTTATTCTGTACCCCATTTAAACAAATGCCTCAATAAAAGAAAGATTGACAAAAATGGTGTTCTGCTTAATAATGTGAATACCCTCCTTTAATAGTTTTTACTTAAATAGGGCTCACCTGGCAATCTAATTATCACAGGTGTCCGAGATTGTTTTCAGTGATCAAAAGAGCCCTGAAACACAATGCCATCCATGAGTTAAACTGAAAAACAAAATATTTAATTTTTGTGACACTTAAATAGAATTTGCATAATAATCTGGAACATGGTGTACACTGCCTGGCAAAATAAAAAAGTCGCCACCTGGATTTAACTAAGCAAATAGGTAAGAGCCTCCTATTGGATAGTTACTGCATGGGCGATTATCTTTCAGCTGGCAACAAGTTATTTAACCCCAACTGATGCAATGTGTAGCTTCTCATTTCTTAAACAACCATGTCGGAAGACACATCCCATGGTCGTGGAAAAAAGATGTAAGTCTGTCATGCATCAAGCAGAGAAAACATCTAAGGAAATTGCAGAAACTACTAAAATTGGGTTAAGAACTGTCCAACGCATTATTAAAAACTGGAAGGATAGTGGGGAACCATTGTCAGGGTAAGAAGAGAAGCAGATGAAGTGATACACCCATCATGCCTAGTGCCCAGGGCCGCCATCAGAAATTGTGGGGCCCCTAACAACCCAGGTCCCAGGGTGCCCACCTCTAAGCCCCGCCTCCAAATCCCGCCCACAGGAATACACACAAACAGACACAAAAGCACACACAGAAAGAAACACACATACTAACAGACACAGACACTGAAACAGACATACACACATATAGAAACACAAAGAGTAGGATAAGTGACACTAAACCAAAATAAATAAACAAATCCCAGTGTGTCTAAAACCAAACCAGTGTTTTAGTCACCTTAAAACACTTACATTAATACAAATGGATACAAGGAAAGGTGGTTTTGTGCACACAATGGATGCTTGATGAGATAATCTTGTAAGTGTCAGAACTGTTTATTGATTGATCATCATTGTCTTGGGCGAGAAATTAATGTTGTATTGAAAAGCAAGAGAATCTCCTGCAAGAAAGGGCAGAGACTTGAAACACTGCTGCAGGTCCAGGCTGAAACAAAAGGAAACTCAATTTACACACATACACACACACACACCTCATTTTTTAGCCACCCTCCTCTACCTTACCTTTTTGTTGCAGGGGGGTGGCTGGGGATGATGGGAGTAGATGCCTCTCTTCTCCTCAGCTGTCTCTCCCCCCGCACGAAGTAAGCTTGGAGGAAGTGACCGGCCGTCACTTCCTCCCTGCAGCACTTGTGGTGCAGCCGCAATTTTTTTTAAAGGGGCCTGGTCGCGCTATTACACTGCCACAGCGCTGACCGGGCCTCTAAAGATATAGGGCTCATCAGATGGCCCTAAATGCTTGGGCCACCTGATGGGCCCCATCAGCATGTGGGCTCCGGTGCAGATGCACCTGCGGCAGTTTCGCCGCTCCACGTGGGGCCCGGGCGGCTGGGCCCCCGGCCCATGATAACCGTCATGGTTGTCACCCCCTGATGGTGGCCCTGCTAGTGCCTACTGTACAAGCTTGTGGGGGGAGTGCTATGATCTGGGGTTGTTGCCCTTGGTCAGGTCTAGGTTCAGCAACATTATGTGCCCAAAGAATGAGGTCAGCTGAATATACTGAATGACAAGGTTATTCCATCAATGGATGTTGTCTTACCTGATGGCACGGGCATATTATAAGATGACAATGCCAGCATTCATCGGGCATAAATTGTGAAAGAGTGGTTAAGGGAGCATGAGACATCATTTCACATATGGATGGGCCACCACAGAGTCCAGACCTTAACCCCATTGAAAATCTTTGGGATGTGCTGAAGAAGGCTTAGTGCAATGGTCCGACTCTCCCATCATCAATACAAGATCTTGGTGAAAAATGAATGCAACACCGGACAGAAATAAATCTTGTGACATTGCAGTAGCTTATCGAAACAATGCCACAGCCAATTTGTGCCACAATCAAAGTTAAAGGCGATCCAATGAAATATTAGAGTGTGTGACCTTTTTTTTTTTTTTTTTTTTGTGGTGACTTTTTTTTGTCCAGGCACTGTACAATATAACAGCCCACATACACACAAATACCATGCTATAAAGCAACTGCAGCACCCATAAATAACACAAGCACAATACAGCAACATGCATTCTTTAATTTAAAAATTTAGGACTGGCACACAATGGGACTCCAAGATCTATAAGATCTTGTTCTGGCACAGTACTGCTAAAAGGTTGCCTAAAACTCAAACTATGCAGGCAGTACATGAAATGCTGCAACAAATTATCTGCATAAACTCAGAATGACAGATATATAAGGGGAGAGAGCTCACAAGTAAGTTCCTCTCTCGTCTTCATAGATGTAGATGTGCAAATAAAGATCATCAAAGATAATGTATTGGCCCTAACTTCAGTCTCATTAACTTTTAAATCAGAGATCATATTACAGGAATGCTTTTGTTTGCGCTGCTACCTTACCCTGGCATTTAGATTGCACTCACAGGACTTTCCAGAGGAATTTAAACAGTCTCCTACATGCACAATGCAGAAGGAAAAAGATGCTGGATTTGAGATTTCTGGTGGAAGCAAAGGCGACATCACGTTGGCCATGAGTGTACCCTCTCACACTCTTACGGCTGCATCTGCATCCCGCCACTGCCAAATTCTTAAAGGCCACATCCCACAAAGGCCCTAAGGTAGTCCGGCCCTGCACCCTATTACAAACAGGAGTCTTTACTGGTGTCACTACATTTTTTTTTTTTTTTATAGCTAACATACTTTGGTTGTGACTGATTAACTCAGGCTGTCTGAGTATACTGGGGACTGCATATGATGTATTTGGGTGTCAAGGTGTAATGGGAACTGCGTGTTTTGCTGTCTTAGTGTAATGACTACATTTTGTGTGTGATATCTTTGGCTGTCTGGCTGTAATGGGGACTGCATGTGACGTATTATATTGTTTGTGTGTGATAGGAATAGTTTGTGTGTGATGGTATTGAGCTGTGTACATGTAATGGAAACTGTGTATTAGCATTGGGCTGGCTGTGTGTGATGAGAATGTGTGTTATTTTGAGCTATCAATGTGTGATGGGGACTGCTTGTGTTTGTGATGGTTTTGAATAACAGTGATAACCATTGATAAGTAGATAGCATCATGTAACTGGTCATCTTTGACCTACATAAAAGTTGGTGAATCCTAGAGCCATCCTCCCCCCTTTCAGCCATATCTCTCTCCCTTTGCCAACCTCCCCCCTTTCACATATATCTCTCCCCCTTGCCAACCTCCCCCCTTTCATCCATATCTCCATCCCCCCTTTGAAACCTACCTCCTCCTATCCATATCTGTTCCCCTTTGCCAACCTCCCCCTTCCTGAATATCTCCCCCCTTGCCAACACTCCCTTCCTCAATACCCCCTAATGCCAGCCTCCCCCTTCCTCAATATCTCATCCCCTTTGCCAACCTCCCTCTTGCTGAAATCTACCTAACTACCTATGCAATGCTTTTCCCACGCAGTACTCACAGAGCCGGCGGTCCAGTGGAAGGCTCTCCTTTCTTGCCTTCCTCTCTGGTGTTTTGTCTGTCATGGCAGGGGAGGGGTGCACCTGATGCACGGTGCGCTGTGTCTCAGTCATGCTGAGCAATGGCGAGTCACATGACAACTGGTGTTCCTACGCAGACCTCGAGGGGGAGGTGTTACACTTGTGCACTGTGGATGTTGTTCCTTGATGAAGCTGCACGCTACCTGGGGGCGCAGGGAGCACAAAAATCACATCTCATCCTTACAACTGATTTTTGCACCCCCGGCCTGTGCTCCCGGCAGGCACCTGTCTTGCCAACCCCATGATACACCCCTGCTTCCTTATGATCAGGCACTTAAGAGAGTGATGCCATTTGAAATAACAAGGGAAAACAAACGCTGCCTCTTGACTCGATATGTAGATTCACTTGGCACTTTTTCATTAGGTGATAAATTTCCTTGGAAAAAAATATGTCTTTCCCTTTGATGGGCAATAGCTTGCACTAGTTACAGAGCTCAGAAAAGACCCAATTAGAGACATTATAAATAGTGCTATGCAAATCCACTTATGTAGCAGTCCAAATGCTGGCTAATGCTCCTGGCTAGAGACAAATGAAACGAATGAAACATGCAGCTTTAAATCTTGCCTGTGTGTGAATCAGCGTTCTTCATACTGCATGAATATTTGAGAGCAGAATCTGTTCTGAATTGTATGATATATTACTGTATCTTATCCATTGCAAACAGATTGCACATTGAAGTATTAAAAAGAAAAAAAAAATAACGACTCTACTTGATTTGAAAGCTAAAATAGTGTTTACATTTTAATTTATCAAAACAAATACGACGATTGCAATAACACATCAATACTGCAAAGAAAATATCATATGTTACTAAAAATATAAAATTATCAATTTCTTACAGAACAAAAATCAACAGAATAGTAACCTAATATTCACATTTACACCATCTGGCATCACTTTGTCTGAGTGCTACTGCACAGAAATGAAAAGGGATTGGAAAGCACAATCCGTAAAGACATGGTCCATGCAGTTCCGCAATACCATTCCCTTCAAGATGGTGTCCCTGACCAATATAACATCAAGATCAATTTACTTAGAAGTATGTTTACTTAGAAATATGTTTTCATATATTTCACAGTTATACTTGACTTGCAATTGTCCATTTAAAGAATGAGGCTGAAGAGGCTTAAGTCTTAAAAAAAAAAAATAAAACATTAGTTAAACAAAAAAATATTATTGATGGAATTGCAAACACATGATTTAAAATCTTAGGCACTGTAATTGATTTGGAAGCAGTTAAATGCAGATGGTAAACTTGTCCTCTAATCTATAACACAATGAATTAAGGATCAGTGATGTTAAGTGGTGTAACATCAGTTAAATGCAAAACCTTCCTAATGCCTAATGTCTTGGAGTGATCTCCTTGTTGCAAATGCTGCATAACATTGCTTTCTATTTCTTTTTTTGATTGTAGAGCTTTAAAAAAAATGTTATATTATATTTTTCGCCTGACAGTTTTCTAAATGTTCTTCATGTTACAAAATGAGATACAACAAATACTCTTCACGTAGGAAGTTTAAATCTAACTAATATTCTCCCTAATACCCAGTGCATTCCTCATGTGCCTTTATTGAAAGAGAATGCTCATTCAGTTAGGCCAAGCGAAGTTGCTTCAATTGCCTAGATGCATTTGGTGTCTGAATTAAAACTGGTAGTTTAGCATTAGGATCCTGTACAAAGTAAGGGATTCAGATGATCAAAAAGCACTGGGTTTACAAAAATTCAGAACCAAATGCATTCAGCAGTATGCACATTAACAAATTATAATTCACTAGCTTTATGCTAGTGAATTATAATTTGTAAAACTATTTGCCCACTGACAATTCTGGCATCTACTAGTAGGCAAATAGTTAAAAAATAAAAAAAGCTCAGCCGCGCAAGCGTTAATTATGTGGCATCTGGACAGTTCTTGCTAGCCACCAGACACATTGAAAAAGTAAATACATAAAACTTTATAAGGTCAATAAGTTTAAAACCTCTATATGCCATATATTCTAAATATTAAAAATGAGACATTGATGCCCAGTAACTGGAAAGGCAGCATCCAATGAGGATCTAGCTTGGGTCCCGTCTGGTTTGGTAGACTCCAACATCTAGGACTATGGTGCTGTGTGCATGTTCCTTTGCTAGTAAGAGTAGTGTCTTCTTGCTGTCTTCTTAAAACCCTGCATTTTCCAACCACCAGTAGGATTCTGTAATTTGAAACACACCAACTATCGATCAGTGGTACATTTCATGGAGAGGTTTGTCTTGCCATGGAACCTGTTGTCAGGCATTTCCTTGGCAGGCCACCTTTGGGAGCCATCATCATGATGTACTTGTGGATGTTGTGTGTTTCATCCAGGACTGTACCATTGACACTCAATAGGTCTGATTTCCTTCCTTCCTGCAAGTGCACAGTCCTCCTTCCTTTTTTTGTGACTAGCTTCTGTGTCTTGATATCCATTGTGCCGAGCTCATATCTTGTCCAGGTTATTATGCCAGCTGGACAAGTGAATACATTGATGAATTGTAATGCGTATGTATTGATGGTGTAGCTCTTGTTTTTGCCAGACATGTTTGACTGTCTTGGGGTACTTTTCTGTCCTTCTTGTCTCTTGCTCCTAGTTCTAATGTATTTTTGGTATCCTCAAGTACTTGTAGCTGTTATCTATGTCTCCTATTTGACTTTCTGGAACATCAAGTCATTCAGTTCTGAAGTCCCCTCTTTATTCTATCATTCACACACACTTATATAGTGCAAGCAATGTTCCAATGTCCTTGTTGTATATCCCAGTTAAGTGTATTGGTAAGCCAGTGTGCCGCACATTCTTGGCATGCAGCTTTATTTTGTTCAAGTAGAGAAGTGAATTATTGTAGCTCTAGTCTTGAACCTGTATAACTATCCATTCTTCATGATCACATGGATGAGCGGTTGAGTCCTATGCAGAACTACAATGGAGATAGCACATTGCCATCATAAATACTTGTGCAAATGTCCTGGATTTTTCTATGAGTGTTGTTCTCCACTTGTCAATTGAGTTATTGATGAATGATCATAGTGTCATATTGTTGGTCTTGTATAGAGCCAAGCATTCCACTATTCATGTGTGTAGCATTGTGCCATAGGCAGGTGATTGCTTAGTAGTAGTTGGTGTTGTTCCCTTGTGAGGTACTTTATGACTTGTATTGTTCTGCCTTGTGAGTAGAAGTTTGTTTCACACCAGGCTGTCCTGCCAGTAATGTTGGCATATTCACCACCTTTCTGGGTGGATTTGCCCTCTTTTCATGCAGAGCTGTCTCCTTTTGGGCAGAGCAGATCATACCCCACCCACATTACCCCCTCCCACCAACACTTCTGCTACTGGGAGGTATGTGCAATGGTTTGCTTTGAGGTCTGGTAGCCACTGAGCCTTGGTGTTATGTGATACTTTTTTCTCCCAGATGTTCTTCACATACTATCCAGTCTCAGTTTGGGTGGGTATTGGATATTTCAGCTGTGAGTACATCTTGCATGGATCTTTGATAAACAGAACATTTATTGCTTTAGCCTCTGCTTCTTAGGTGTATCTGAAATATACTTGGCCCACACTGACATGAGAATTTTCCCATGATTTGGTTCACATAACAAATAGAATAGAAAAAGTAAGCAATAGAAAGAAAAACCGAAGGAGCTGTAAACAAATCTACATTTATATATTTACATATTATATATTTAATAAACATATAAATATAGATTTTTTTATTTTTTTTTACTGCCCCTCATTTTTTCTATTTGTCACTTCTCACTTAATATGTGAATAACATTAACATTTGAAGACTACACCTAGCCATCAATCATCTTTTTCCCCATTAATCATATCTTTTTTTGGTGCCACAGCTGGAATAAAGAATCAAAAATCAATACGCGTGGCAATCAACATGCTTGGCCCTTGCACATTTCAATTGGTTTATGATTTTGTCTTCATTTAGGCTCTGAGATTTTGAATTTGAACAATCATCAAAAAGGGGACAAAACTTTTTTTAGATACATAAATGAGAAAATTAAAGTGAAACAAGGATTAGTTAGATTAAAAACAAAAGGAGGGTATATAGGAGAAAGAGAAGAGAAAGGTCTAGCTGACTGCCTCAATGAATATTTTTGTTCAGTATTTACAGATGAAAATGAATGAAAGGGGCCTCAGTTAGGAAAAAGGACAAATGAGTAATTTATTACATGTGAGTTTACAGAGGAAGAGGTTATATTTCAACTGTCAAAAGTAAAGACAAATAAGTCAATGGGACCTGATAGAAAACATCCAAAATTATTAAAAGAGCTTAGTGGTGTACTAGCAAAAACGTTAACAGATTTATTTAACCAATCATTGTTAACAGGAGTAGTCCCAGAAGATTGTAAGTTAGCGAATGTTGTGCCCATTCACAAGAAAGGTAGTAGGGAGGAGTCTGGCAACTATAGGCCAGTAAACCTTACTTCAGTAGTGGGG